GATGCAACAATTGATCATAATGACCTTGGAACTTTCCAACTGGGAGACTTTCCATCGTCTGAAACGAATGATAAACAGGCACATATCAGTCCAGTATCAACCAAGATAGCGCCTTTTGCCTTACAATCAAGATGCGATTCATCATTGGACCATAGTTTCACACTTAAGTACTCACGTGCTAGTGTTGAAAGATCCTGTAGATCAATGTACATCAATTCTGAAACCATCCCACAAACACCAGTGTCATCAGTCATTGATGTCCACCGAATCCCTAGTATTATCATCTACGTATGCTCGTTCATGTCCAAGGCACTTTATCACTAAACAGCAACCATCCGGTTAGTGACTGATCAGCAGCGTGATTGTTTTTCCCTCGGACAGCACACAGCCTCACTTATCGTTCCATCACGGAAAACCACATCACGTGGCCACGTATTTACTGGATCCTCGAGTGTCTACTTTTCAGATTGAAGTGCCAGTCATCGTGTAAAACTATTCTTTCTCTGAGCTACTTGTAAAAGATTCATATAGAATCGACTTCGTTTTGTACCGTAGCACACAAACATATGAATCATAAGGTACCCAAAGCCATTGCTTGGTTATCCAGAAAGTGACAATGACTAGGCTTGAATATCTAGATTCCTAGACTAGCAACTTTGCTGAACTTCTTCTATGGAACCTGAAGTTCCCAATCAAGTATTTTCACCCGTTACCGTCGCCTTTCACAGGCAACGAAATACAACTGTCATCTCAATAAACACACTGATATTCATAACAGGTTGACTTTTCACAAAGTGACCAAACTGAATCACTTCGTGTAAATTTATGACTCACCATGTCACCGTATTTCATCACGTGACTTAATAACGTCTTTCTTCTCACCGCCGTGTATTGTTCCTTCAGTGTACGCTTTTTTATGTCATTCTGCGTGCGGGTGAAAGATAATGAAAAATGGGAGCTGAGTGAAGCAGACACATCAGCATAGGCAACTGTAAGTGTATCAGGTGTGGGCAATACCTTGAAACCACCACTAGAATTGAGACAACCGAACGACACATACTGCTGGTAAATTAGTGAGCACTCCGTTGTTCCTGGACATCATACATGTACGTAAAACATATCTTCTGATCCCCAAGATCGTCATCATCATCATCATCATCATCATCATCATCGAGAGCAACAAAAATTATTTGAAGTGGAAAATGAATGGATGATGGTACGGGAAGGAAAACATAGGCCTAGCCCGCGGCATATGCCCGAGTTTCCCACACATTCGTCAAACTATCTGGATAGAAACTGACAGCATGAACGCCACTGAGATATTGGTTCATTTCGACAGATGTATTGAGACGAAGGCGTTCAGGAGAGCCACCAGCATTAACTACATCATCGTTATCATCATCAGCATGCTTATCGCCATCATCAACGTCATCACTGTCAACATGCGTATTCAACGTTGACGCCTGCGGTTGTGCATTCAAAATCTATTTAAAGCCATTTTCGAAAGAAAAGGATTAAAAAGGGTTTGGGAATGGACTTGATGCTGGCCTACTACAATCATTCCGATGCGCCTACAGCTACGGACAATTCCTCAGTCGGACTGAACCGAAAATGATAACGAGAAATACAATATCATTGATTCAGAGACACGATTTGCAACCTCTTCAACCAATAACGGTTGAAATCAGGCGGTCTCCATCGTAGAGGGCGAAATACACCCGTACCACCCAAACTTTTGTTGGTCTCCTTCATATCCCTCTGCAAGATCATAGGCGAATCTGATTGGCAGGATTGTGAGAAATTTCTGACATACAACCAATGGTTTGATTATTCTGGGGCCACCGGTCGGCCGTGATGGCCGTAAATCCTGTTCATGCTTGAAAACAAAACCTAAAGGGTTTTGAGAATCAACTGGACTACCACTGGCTGCTGAATATCACCGGACTACGCATCCACAACTGAAAGATTTACCTGTGACACCTTTGCTAAAACTTACCTGTTCCGAATCTGTAATCCATTCATACGGGTATTCGTTCGCCATACAAACATCAATTTTCGAGTCAAAACAAAAAACAGCGCAGGATGCTTCATCTTCCATGGCTGAAGTTGTCACGTAGACTGCATGTTTAGGGGTTCAAAAAGAGAACAGATAGTATGGGGAAATGTTAGAGATGTGTGAGATAGTGAGGGAAATTGTCGACGAAAGGATCGTGTGACTCACTGAAATAAGGAAGCTGCAAGACGTCTAGAACTCACACACTACTCAATAGGTCACTGACATTTCATTGAGAGAATAGAATGGTTTTCGTGCTCCTTGCGGCGAATGAGGTAGGCGCAGTCCTATACATCCCCTAAAACTTAATCAAGACTTGAACCCAGACTGGGTGGAACTTGCCAAACGCCCTCGTGAATGAGATATTTATCTGGTCTCCTTTGGGTGAGTCCGTCAAAAGGAAATAAGTGTGTTAATGTATAATCTCTTATTATGGTATTCCCCCGAAAATAAACCACCGACCAGAACGGACAAATCTAGTGTCGCCACAATCATTAGACCTGTTGGTTAATGGGTTGAAGTTTATTTTTATAAAAGACCCAAGATTCATGTATAATTTACAGTGAAGGTATCCACTTGGCATTGGTGGTTGCTGCAAAGGGACAACAAAATAACACACAATGATTTTCTCCACCCATAGGAAACTGGTTCAGCAACGCAAGCGACGTTAATCGATGAAGGCTGGACATTTTGCTATCCTCGGCTAAACGCTTCTTGAGTAGAGTCATGTGCTACTTCTATACAAAGATCGCCAATTGACAAAGCATAACCAAGTTTGGAAC